CACTGTTCCTATCTGCATATGAATTTAATAATTTATTAATATATCAAGTGAGACCCAATAAAAGTGGATCTTTGTATCCTTTTGCCCATTTTACAAGCAAAGGTGAAATACATTTTGGTAATAAGTTTTTCATGAAGTTTCTTTTTCATGAATGCAGTGTCACATATATTTAGCTTTGATGGATTATGTAAATTCAATTTTAGGAGACGATGACGTAATATATCTTTGAAAAATTTTTTGTGTATCACGACATCTCTTTGTAAAAATATTACCTATATATTTTGTTTTGAAAAGAGACATACAGTTTGTTTTTTTCTTTTCTCTTTAAAATTTTAATTTAAAATGTATACTAAGACTGATGCCAACCCAGCATTGAACACAGCCAGGCTGGGATCCCCTCTCTAAAGAGAGGCAAATAAAATTCTTGATAGCCTCTGCAATAGAACACCATCAAGCCCATTTTCAGCCAACTGTACAAACTTTAATTCAGATTTGAATCAGCAGTGAGCTGTAAAAATAATGCATTTTGAAAATAGCAACATTCGTGACACTGGATGTGCTTATAGTGCTAGTGTAGGCACCCCTCCTCCCCTCACCCCCACCCAGAAAACAGCTAGTATAGAGCTGTGTTGTTTTTCTCGCTACATTTCCCATAGGAAGAAATGAATTTGCAGGAAGGTGAAGGGTCCTGAGAAACATGATGGAAAGACTTATCAGCAGCACTTAAAAATGGACCTGTGGGTTCCTACGGAGAGCTGTGTTATAAAGGGACATTTAATTTGAAGGAACCAAGATAAAGTGGGTCCTGGAAACCAAAAACTTTGAACGGGTTTTTCCTGGACAGTCAGTTGTGTGAATCGAGGGCTTTTATAGTCGGCCGTCACCGACTGCTAGGGAAGTGGCTGTAGCTTATCCTTCCTTGGGTGGAAGGTAGGTTCCTTTCAGAGTTTTTCATTCTTTTTTTCCCTGCTCTGAATGAATAAACACTTCAGGTAGGTGGGGTCAACTGTCCAGCTCTTTGCTCTTTCGGTCGGAGAGGAAAGAGTTGCCTAGCTACGGGCCTGAGAACCAAGGTGGGCTGGCACACGCCCCTGGGCCGAGGAGCAGCTGAGCACATTCTGAATCATGCAGTCTAGCGGTCTGCTGAGTGGCGAAGGGAAGAATATCATGCACAGAGGTCTGAAGTCTTTTTATGGAAGAACAAGAGTTTCGATTCTCTCACTTCACCCTGGCCATTGTGTGGCTTAATCATTGTGTAACTAAGATCCTGCCAAGTATTTGACCATTAAATAGCCTCCAATCTGTATAGAATTCTTCTCCCACACACTTTTATTTGACTGTGATTAATTGGCATTGAATTGTTATTTAATTACCTCTGCAGAAATCTAAGAACAGTATGTGTTCTGATTAACTTGTTTGGTAGAAAAACATGAGTGGCACTGTGGAAGTCAGTTTAGCCTTTGCTACACCTTACTACTGGCAAGTCAACTTTTATAGCTGCTCAAAGCTCACAGGGCATCCTTAAATATCAGAAACCTGTACAGAATCTGGATTAAAATTTTTTTTCTTAGTATATAAAATTGTTTTGGCACTCAGACTTACCATGTAAGTCTGTAAAGCTTTTCTTTTACGTTGAAACTAGATGCCCGGTGCGCCACATTCGTACACTACAGAGTGGTGGTGGGGATTCCTCAGCCTGGCCTGCACCCTCTCACAGTCCAGGAGCCCTCAGGGGATGTCTGACTGCAGGGAGTGAGCTGCAGAGGCGGGAGAGGCTCCCACCACCGCTGCTGCGCTCACCAGCCAAGAACCTGGCTTCTGGGAGCACTCTGACCTGTGGGAGCACACTGGGTTAAGCCTCTGCCCCTTGGTGGTCAGTGTTCATCATAGCACCTAGTCGTTCCACCATTCGGTTGATTTGCATAGTAGGGTTTTATTATATAGGATTCTTTTTAATTTATTTATTGGCCTATTAAAGATTTTAAGTTATTGGCTTTCTCGGATTACAATTACCCATTTGTGTGCCTCTGAGGTGTGCCTGGGAAAAGGCCCACCAGTGGAATGCATGGACAAGGAAGAGTAAAGGGAGAGATGAGATAGGGGCTGCAGCTTCTGGTTTGGGTGTCTGTTCTTACGTAATAGCCAGCAGTGTAAAAAGGGAAGGGATGACCATTGGGGAGGCGGGGGGAGGTAATAGAGTTCTGAGAGGTGAAAAATCTTGAAATACAAGTGTGGGAGGCAGTTGTATTTAGGAAATGTGTATATTAGCAGTAATGAAAAGAGACAGATACTAAAGGAAAAATAATTAGATACCAGAAACCAGCATACATAAATATCTCAAAAAAAAAAAAGAAGTGAGAAGTCCAAGTTACTGCAGAATAAGTCATAAAGAGTAAGGATGGCCAAAACCGATTTGGCTCAGGGATAGAGCATTGGCCTGCGGACTGAAGGGTCCCAGGTTCAGTTCCGGTCAAGGGCGTGTACCTTGGTTTCAGGCACATCCTCAGTAGGGTGTGTCCAGGAGGCAGTTAATAGATGTTTCTCTCTGATCGATGTTTCTAACTCTATCCCTCTCCCTTTCTCTCTGTAAAAAAATCAATAAAATACATTTTAAAAAAAAAAGAGTAAGGATGGACTCTAGCTGTTTGGCTCAGTGAATAGAGCATCGGTCCTCATACTGAAGAATTCGAGGTTTGATTCCCATTGAGGGCACATATCTCTGTTGCCGGCTCGATCCCTGGCCCTGGTTGGGGCACCTATGGGAGGTAGTCAGTCAACGTGTCTCTCTTACATCAATGTTTCTGTCTGTCTCATCCCCTCCCTTCCATTCACGCTAAAAATCAATGAAAAAAATATTAGGGTTAATAAAACAAAACAAAACAAAAGTGAGGATAGGCTCTGGCCAGTGTGGCTCAGTTGGTAGGAGCTTTGTTCCTTATTCCAAAAGGTGGCGGGTTCGATTCCGATCGAGGCACATTTCCAGATTGTAGGTTTGATCACCAGTCAGGCAGTGCATGAGATGTAACCGATGGTTCTCTTTCACACCAATGTTTCTCTTTCTCCCTTCCTCTCTCTCTCAAGTCAATTAAAACATATCCTCGGGTGAGGATTAAAAAAAGGGAGGAAAGCTGGCTTTTGGTTTAGAAACTAGATGACTGATGTATGCCGTGGTGTGAAATGCTGGAAAGGATTGCAGAGTATTTGAATGGGCCGGGATTCCATGTGAGAAAAGGACAATGACTTGGCTAAGAAGTAATGTGTGTCCAACGTCTTTTATAACTGACAAGTCAAATAGAAGTATAACACTAGAGCAATATTTCCAGTTCTTAATACTTTTATATGAATTTCTTTATTAAGGTATCACTTATTTGTCCTCAACCCCTCATTCCAACCCCCCCCCCCCGCCCCCCGCACTGATGCCCCCACCCCGCTATTGTCCTTGACCACTGGTTAGGCTCATATGTGTGCACATAAGTCCTTTGGTTGATCTCTCCCTTTTATTCCCATTCTCCCTTTGAGGTCCAACACTCTGACCCGTGGCTCTTTATATGAATTTCTTAAAGAACAGAGCAGGTGAAAATTATTTTCCCTTCCTTTTTAATGGCTCCCCCCCCCAAAAAAAAAACAAAACAAAAAAACAACAACACACACACAACCCCCCCCCCAAAAAAAAAAAAAAAACCACCAAAAAAACACCAACAAAAAAAGCTCCATGCATTTACACTTAACACAGCCCAGCTAGTTTTGTGTAACATCTGTTGGCGGTTCCCAGATATTAAAATGATATGCCGGAGGTAGACCTGACGATCAGATTTGGGTGTTGGTTGATCCGTCTCCAGTACACCTTAGTTACTTTACATAGGGTGGGGAGTGGGAGGGCCCATTGTCTTCAAGTTTAGTCATGTTCTCACACCAAATGTTTTTCTGGCCTATTTTTGAGCTTTACGTAGAACTTGCATGTGTACTGGAGGTAGGGAGAGTTGATTTTGCATGCTGAATGGTAATTTCTAGCCAACATTTTCTGAATTATTGATTCCTATACCTGCCTTTGTGGAAATGGGAGTTCCTTGCCTAGGCAAATGCTTTAGAAATTGGCATTTCTATCCCATCTCTGAACACATTTCGAGGTGAGATTGCACCATGTTTTAACTCCCAAGTGCTGGAGATATGCAATAGATACTGTGCATTTACTCTTGAAAGACAGCAGTGGGGAAGGCGTATGAGGGTTGACGAGGGGATTTTTTCTTCCAGACCACGTGGTGCATTCCTGTGGTAGAAGTCAAGAGAAAGGTGGTTTCCTGCTCTCTTAGAATCAGAGGTTCTTAACTGGGCCACTTACCCCTGTGGCCACTCCACTTTTTGTGGTTCAAGATTTATATGCAAACTGTATGTGTGGGCATTTTTCCAGTGGAAACACTTTGTAGCTTTCATCAGACCCACCGTATTTCAGAGCTACTAGGATCCTAGAAGTTCTTCCACTGGTTGTCCCCTGGTATATGCATTCCTGTGTGATATGTACATCACATATCACACATGTGAGCCTTGAGCCTCACTCCTGTGTGATAAGCTTCATGATTTGTGTCCAGGGGAAAAGGCCATAGCCTGGACTAGCTTTCCAGTGCTTAGGAAAAGTAAAATAATGACTACTTATTATAGCAAAGCATTTATGGCTGCTGCAGGAAAGTGGTTTCCTGGGGCAGTTTTTGAGGCGTATCCATTCCTTCAAGGTTAATACTTGGTAGTAGGTGCTCCGAGTTGACCTGGGTTCAGGCCCAGCTTGTGGTGAATCTTAGGCTCCAGGACTTTTCCTAATCAATAGGCCATATGTTCTCATTCAGTCTTTCATCTGTTCACTTGTCAAGCTATTCATTCAACCCACAGTCACTTCTGTCATTTAATTTTGAGGTGGAGTTCCTTAACATGTTTTACTCTAATTATGGTTAGTCAAGAAAGATTCCAGGCACTCTTCTACCCAGAAGTGACAGTCAAAGTATTTAGCACCCAGTGGAGCAGGTGTTAGCCAACCAGAAGGGGGCTGGGCCACAGTAACTGGTCTGACCTTCGCCATTCCTACCAGCTAACACCAGTCCTGCCTGTCACATTATTGGCTCTTTTTCTTGGTTGATACGTCATAGAGCTTTCCGATGTGTCCAGAGAAGTAGCTTTACATGCGTTCACTTGAACTTTCTGAATCTCTCTAATGCTGGGTGGGAGGCCTCCCTTGGCCACTTTATAGCCGAGTGTCCTTGAGTTAAATTCTTTCCGTCTCAGCTACCAGTATCTCTCACTCGTGGTTTTGAGATGAAATGTACGCCAAGCTTAACAGTTTCTATCATAATTGTTGCTATGGTGGTGCTCTGGCAGTTCAGTGTGAGTGAACCAAAAACAACCACGTGAAAAAGTCCTCTCCAGATCTGTGGCACGGTGGTGAATTGGTGTGTTGTGGGCTCATCTGGGCTCACAGAGGTTGAGATAGAATTGGTTCTTGGCTGTCTTGTTTGGATGCCCCTCTGTCCTCTCTCTACCTGGCCCCTCCTCAGTACTTCTCCTCACAGCTGTTGTTGTGAAGAGACACTGACGAGAGGGAAATTCGACCTCCTCTTGACTAAAGGGGATTTTCCCTGGAGGCCCCTTTCCACTCGGTGTCCACACCCACGTTCTCTCCTGCCTCAGCACACCTGAGGTCGTGTTCTCTCCACCAGCTAGGCAAATATTTGCCATCCTTTTGTCCTTCCCCACTTCTTAGTCCTCCCAGATGTCATTCCTCCCACCTGGGCAAACTCTCCACTCACCCTCAGCCCATGCTCTGCCCTCCCTCCAAATTCTCAAGCATTGTTTCTCCTCGAGAACTTGTTGGGCTAACCCTGCCTCACCTTGCATCTCACACGGTCCGGTGACACCCACGGTTGCCGTGGCTGGCTGTCTCATCGGCACCTGCCGCGGGCATGTCCAGTGCCTGTGTTGCCGGCATTCTATGTCACTGGGTGTCCTGGATGCACTTACTGTACCCTATTAGTCTGCCACCAACGTTAGAGTGTAAAATGCCCCAGCATGCACCAAAAAAAAAACAATTTGTGTAGAACTTGAAATCGAAACAGCCTGTTTTGTCTGACTAGCAAGAGGGAAGAAAAAGGGACAAGGCAGGAGAATGCTGTGAGCTAGAGGAAGGAGGACTCGAAGCTGGATGTAGGACGCATGTTGTGGGATTGACCTTTGTCTTAAACACAGCATGGGACTTTAAAGTCGTCTCGTCTGGGACAGTCCCACATGGCATTTTCCAGGTGGGGAAAAATTTAGAAAGCTCTCATTAGACAGGGAAAGACCACCTGAGTCTTTTTTGAAACTCATTTCCTATGGTTTGTCATGTTATGTAATGAAACCTTGAAACTGCTCTCTTTAACATGCCTTACTGATGTGAAAGGCCAGCGAGCACTAGACTTTGAAAACACAGCGTCATTATTCTCGGAAGGCATTCCTTCACATTGCTAGGGGAGAACCTTCCCGTCCTCCTTGATTTACTGTTTTCCTGCCTCCTGCCTCCCAGGAGGTATGAAAATCCCATAGTGTTCGGTGTCTGCCTGCCGCCTCCACCACCGTCGGGACCGCTCCTCTGGTGTGTCCCTGAGGTTAGTTCACCTGTGGCTTTCCCCCTTCCAGCTGCGGCCACTGCAGCGAGCAGAGCACATGTCAGGGACCTGCCCCCTGGACCTCAGTTCCGGTTTCCCCATGTGTGTGAGCAGGTAGGTGGGGCAGCCAGAGGAGCACTGGCAGCTGCAGGGCACCTGACCCACGATTGCTGGGACAAGGAAGAAGGACCCTCCCGGGGCTGCCTGGAGGGCACAGTGGGCTTCTTCCTCAGCCCGGGGTTAAAGCTCACCCTTCCCAGGCCTGGCACTAGATTCAGTGCCTGAAGAAACTGGTCTGGGTTAGGATGTACCCTCTGAGGGCTCTCATTTCAATCAAATGCCATCTGGTCTGCGGTGTGACCTTTCAGTTTTCGGGGGAGTTCTAGCTTTATTTAAAAATATATATATATTTTATTGATTTTTTTACAGAGAGGAAGAGAGAGGGATAGAGAGTTAGAAACATCAATGAGAGAGAATCATCTATCAACTGCCTCTTGCACACCCCCTACTGGAGATGTGCCTGCCAGCAAGGTACATGCCCTTGACCGGAATCAAACCTGGGACCTTTCAGTCTGCAGGCTGATGCTCTATCCACTGAGCCAAATCGGTTTCAGCAGGAGTTCTAGCTTTAAAGGAATTCTACAATATAAAACCTAGGCCGTGGGTAGACCAGAACTCTCCCTCAGTGTCTGGTTACATTATTATTGGTGCCTTGCATTTCTTTCCATCATTCTTGTCCGCCCTTGCTGCCGGCTCCCTAATCCCATGTGATCTGCATCTGTTCCACACCTCTTCTTCCTTGCTTCCTTTTTTGGCAGCTGCCACCTCCCCCAGCACCTATGGACTCCTGTCCCCTCGCCCGTCTCCATTCTGTGAGACCAGGCGCTTCCCTGCCCTCCTGCCAGGTTCTGTGAATTGCTGTCCCCTAACCCAGTCTGCACTGGGAACTTCCAGGGCCTTGGAAGGAGCACAGACAGACAAATTGGTTCCACAGCAAGGCAAGGAAAGTGACAAGTCTGACGAACCAGACACTTCATGTTGCAACAGGAATCTCCCCAGATCGGAAAACACCCGCCCAAAGAAGATGACACGAAATGTCAGCCATTGGCGATAGAGGCTGAAATTCGAAAACAAACCATTGTTATTTATTTATTCAGAATATGTTCTAGTGCCTTCTCTATAATAGGCATTGGCCCAAGCACTGGGGGAACAGCAATGAATGAAACGGACAGAATCCACTGCCCTCATAATGCCTAATGTTTATTCTAATTTAATTTGTGAACAAAACAGGAGGCAAGTGTGGTCTTTGGCTCTAGGAAGCAAAGGGGGGGGGGAGGAGGGATTTGAAAGGGCAGTGATAATATGTCAATGTGACTTGGCCGCCTTATAAGTTCTTGAGACTAAAGGAGCATCATCAGGAATGTCCACATTCTGCCTTGTTGCTCAAAGTGATGTCCCTGGACCAGTAGCATGAGCATCACAGGGGAGCTGTTAGAAGCACAGAATTCAGCCCCTTCCCTGCCCCCCTCCACCCCACCCCGCCCCGCCCCCCTCGGTTCTTGAGAATATTCAATTCAAGCAGATCACTGGGAAATTCGTGTACAGATTAAAGTTTGGGAAACATTGCTCTTCTCAGTGTCTGAGGCCACTCGGATACTCAGGAGCCCTTGATGTCTGGGAGAATTTGCTGACATGTCCACAAATTCGAGACTGAGCATTGGTGGGATCTGTAGTGAACAGAATAAATCTTCCCAGGTGTGTCCCCTGACATGTAGAAAGATGGTGTTAAGGTGGGTTTCAGGTCTTACAGTCTCTCTTCAGCAAGAACTGTTTTTTAAGATCCTTTACAGATTTGTGTGTTTCTATGTAAGAGACCATCTGCAAGGTCTCCCATGTTAAAAACAAACTGGGTTTGCGGTGTTTAGCAAATTCAGGGACCCCCGCGACCCCACCCCAGGCACTTGGCAGTTTGTTACAGGTTGTATATGAAATGGGGCCCATATTTACAGAGGGTGTGTAATCTAGATGTAAATTCAAGACAAATATGCATGAAAAGTAGTTAAACCACAAAATAGATGATACTGTGATATATTCTGAGATACATCCAGCCTGACTCCAGGGGGAATCTGGAAGCAAGCTGAAACAGTCTTTCTTCAAAGTTAGAAAAACTGTGCCTCTAAATATGAAAGTGGCTTATGTCTTTGCTGAGAGAGTCTTATTGTAGGAGCTTTGTGATTGCAGGTCCTCATCACTAAGAGCAAAACTGAAGGTTGGAGACAGATTCTGGGCAACAGAACGTGTCAGGAGAGGGTGCAGTCATATAAAACCATCGTGTTTGGGGTGTAGGGGTGCATCCTATGCAACCTCAAGTAGCCCCAAATAACATGGTCATGTTTAAAAATAGTTAAACTATTGGCCCTGGTTAGAGAGTTGTCCAGATAGGGTAAGTTTCGGATTTGATCCCTGGTCCGGGAATATACAAGAATCAGCCAATGAGCCCTAACTGGTTTTGCTCAGTGGATAGACTGAAGGGTCCCAGGTTCGGATTCTGGTCAAGGGCATGTACCATGGTTGCGGACACATCCTCAGTACGGGGTGTGAAGGAGGCAGCTGATTGATATTTCTCTCTCGTCGATGTTTCCAACTCTCATTTTAAAGAATTAACCAGTGAATGCATAAAAAAGTGGAACAACAAATCTCTCTGTCTCATATTAATAAAAATATTTAGAAATGACTAAACTATGGATGCTCAAAATATTGAATATTATGTTCTGGATTGTTAAAAAAAATGGATTTATTCTCTATCTTTTGTTTAAGAAACAAAAGTCTAATCCACACGAGACAGTTTTCTGCCAAAATGATTAAAATAAAAATAGAGATTTGTTACTTAAAGGAATATTAGTATTTTGGAAGTTTTACTTTATAAAATCCATTTCTCCATCTGATTTTAGTCCTCAATCTCTTGTTGGACATGTTCTAATCAAGGTTTTTGGGTTGGTAGAGGCAGAACCTACCTATGTGAGCTCACAGGAGGAGTGCTTGGCCTTGGGGCCCTCTCTATGTGAAGGGCTTCTTCTCTGGAGGGGCCTCTGAGGGGCCAGCAGTGAGGGAGAAGGCTGGGGTGTCTGGAGCTGGGTAAACTTCACCTGCATTTCCTCTTCTGCCTCATTCTTCCAGGCGCCTTTGTAAAACCTCAATCTTCACAAGACAAAGTTTGGAAATGACTAGCTCTAGTGACCTTTCATGCCCCTTAAAGTTCTAAAACCCCACAAGGATGATAGGATACCTTGCACGAGGTGCTCTCATAAGCATATCTTTTATCCTCATAATCTTTTATCCCATGAAGTTGTGGAGGCAAATGTTATCATCTCCATGTTCCAGATAAGGATTTGAGGTTGGGTGAGTTGCCTAAAGGCCTGTTGCTGCCAAGTGCCCGAGGTGGCCAGCCTTTTCCAGGGATCCAATTCCTGCTGCTCCTTCTGTTTGACATTCTTTAGCAGTCACATACTGACGGCCTACTCTAACTGCAGAGGCGATGGAAATGTTGAGCTCACAGACTTCTGAGCTCCCGCACCAGTTCTTTTTTTTTTTTTTTTTTAATTTTTTAAATTTTGTTTATTTATTTTTTATTTATTTTTCTTTTACATTTTTTATTAAATTATTATCTGTGTACATATTTTAACATTGTGCTACCCCCCCACCCCATACATACCCTCCCTCTCCAGAGTTTTGTGTCCGTTGGTTGTACTTATATGCATGTATACAAGTCCTTCGGTTGATCTCTTATCTCCCCCAGATCTCCCTACTCTCCCCGCTGTAATTTGATAGTCTGCTTGTTGCTTTACTGTGTCTATATCTATCCTTTGGTTCATCAGTTTAGAATGTTTTTTATTATCCATAAATGAGTGAGGTCATGTGGTGTTTCTCTTTCATTGGCTGGCTTATTTCACTCAGCATGATGTTCTCCAATTCCATCCAGGTTGCTGCAAATGATGAGAATTCCTTCTTTTTTATGGCAGCATAGTATTCCATTGTGTAGATGTATTATACCTTAGTTTTTTATTCATTCATCTGCCGATGGGCACCTAGGCTGTTTCCAAATTCCGTACCAGTTCTTAATGTTGGTCCGAGCCAGATTAGTCTGCATGGACTGATGCAGAAAGTCCTGAGTGGCTCCCTCTCAGCCATCGTTTTTAGGCTGGGGGCTGTTTCCAGGATCCACACCTTCTCCTTTGGGTCAGTTTTGCCCAATCAGGGGGTGTTGTACCAGGAAGGCCCAGGTCATTCTCTTTGCCCTTTCGGGGGGACTCTGATCGCTGCTGGAGTTAGATTCCACCTTTCCATAGGACAGTGGTTCTTGTCCTTGTCCTCCCCACCCCATCCCTGCACACTCCCCCAGCCTCAGCCAGCTGTCCTGGTTCAGATTCTGCCTGGCTATTAAACCAACAGTCAATTCTTATCGATGCATTCGGGATCTAGAACCATCAGGGTGACTAAATGTGGGCACATATGAAGTCCACAGTATTGAAGAGTTCTGGTATGGGGTTGTTTTTGCTGGTATCCAAGGCCATTTCCATGCTAAAGAGTGGGGTCCATAAAGAAGGAACTGCTAATACACACTGTGTAATCGATGGACCTCAGAAATGTTAGGCTAAGTGAAAGAAGCTAGCCACAGAGACCACATATGTGCAATTCCATGTGTATGATGTGTCCTGAAAAGGCAATTTTACAGAGAAAGCAATTACATTAGTGGTTACCTGAGGCTGGGGGTGGAAACCGCGAGTCACTTTCAATGGCATGGGTAGGGGTGGGGTGTCTGATGAGGGGATAGAAATGTTTTAACACTGATTTTTGGTGGTGGCTGCATCATGTAATTAAGCTACTAAAATCCATTGAATTGTACACCTGAAATTGGTGAATTTTATGAGATGTAAAATAAACTTCCTTTTAAAAAAGGGAGAAAGAAAAAAGAGTAGGACTTAAACTAGACATGGCAACTTCCAAGTTTTAGATTATAGTTTAATTATACGTAAGCTGAAGAATCCTGGATATGGGAGAGGTGTCAGAATTCTAAAGGCGACAGATTCCAGCTTAGATGGTAGAATCAGTTCTTAAGTCATGATCACTTATGAATTTGTATTTTGACAAGAATTTCTATGACATGTTTCATGATATTCTAGCTAGTGGACAAGACAGAAGAATGTGAATCAGAGCAATTAGGAGGACCCTAATAGTTCTTTGATAATATGGACTTCAAGGGAGGAATACCCCTCCTTCCCTCCCCCTCTCTCTTTCCTTCCTTCTCCTTCTCCTTCCCTCTCCCTTTTCCTGCCCTCCCCTCCTCTCTCTCCCCTTGCTACTTTCCTACCTTCACTCCATTCCTTTACTTTCTCTTCCAGTCATTCTTTCTCTCTCCCCTTTCCACATTTTAAAAAATACACATATATTTTTTACTGATTTCAGAAAGGAAAGGAGAGGGAGAGAAAGATAGAAATATCAATGATGAGAGAGAATCACTGACTCTACATTGGGGATCGAGCTTGAAACCCGGACATGTGCCCTGACCAAAAATCAAACCGTGAACTTCCGTTTTATTGGTTGACATTCAACCACTGAGTCACGCCGGCTGGGCCCTTTCTACACTTTTTTATACAAGTAAAATAGTATACATAGTTATTGTAGAAAAATAACAAATAGAGAAAGTTTAAAATCCATAAAACATACATTATTGACTTTTTCAGTCCAGTGTCCAAAACGTGATCTGGGCACCATTGATTGTCAGGTTTGTGATTGCCCATATCCTGTGCAGAACAGGGATCACACACTCCCTGGGGTATGGATTTTACTCCTGGGCACAAGGCATTGACTGAGATGGGCCATCTGAGTCTGGGCAAGGGCAGTGGCCAAGCTGGGACACATGCCTTTTGAGGGATAATTGAGGCACCAATGACTTCAATTGTCAAGAGAAATTAGATCTGCTCTGTAAAGTTATGAGGAGTGAATAAGCGGCACAGGTTGGATGTTCCAGGAAGGCAAGATTTGTTGTAATGTAGGAGAGCTCTGTCTAACAGGACAGCCTGAAAATGGACTGGGTCCCCCTTTTCTCTATCTCCCTGGAGATACTGTAGCAGGGGCCATAGGCCTGTGTATAAAGGGAATTTATCATAAGGATTTAATTCAGGAACCTTTGAGAAAACCTTATGACTAAGAAGCCATGATCTAGAAATCACTGGTCTGATTACAAAGCCTATGGCAAAGCCAGATGAATTATTCCATTCATTCTCTTGTTTTTTAGAGCAAGGCAGTATCTATTGAGCCTTCTAATTTCACATTTCCTACACTCAGCTCGCTGGTGAAGAAGAGTTCAGTTTTTGACCATCTTTGACATTTAGTTCAGTGAGTGTAGAAAAGCCTTGTGGGGAGATGGTTTTTCTCAGTTGGGGTTTCCTTGTATTTTACACTCTTTGCCATCGTGATGTCTCAGACTTGATCTGGGTAAATGGGATGATTTCAAGTACCATATTTTCCAGCGTATAAGACGACCTCCCAATTTTACAGTTAAAACATAGGTTTAGGCCTATATTCACTGTATAAGACTACCCCCACTTCTGAGGCAACACCAGTTCTTTTTTTAATAGACCGCCTCTCTGACTCTGGCCAATCGGAGCAGGCTTTTTACTAGAACACAGTGTACGTGTTCTGGACCCGAAGCTACACTGTGTTCTAGTAAAAAGCCTGCTCCGATTGGCCAGAGTCAGAGAGGCGGTCTATTAAAAAAAGAACTGGTGTTGCCTCAGAAGTGGGGGTAGTCTTATACAGCGAATATAGGCCCAAACCTGTGTTATAACTGTAAAAATTAGGGGGTCTTCTTATACACCAGAAAATACGGTACTATTCATCTCTGTGTATCTTGTTTGTTTGTTTGTTTTTAATTTGAAGATTATTTTCAACATTTTGTAAGTTGAGCCACACTTACAGTGCTTCTGAATCCTGTGCATGTTAAAAAGTTGTACTTTTCGCCCTGGCCAGGATGGCTCTGCTGGGTGATGTCGTGTGCACTGAAAGGTTGCCGGTTCCATTCCCTGTCAGGGCACACGTGCCTGGGTTGCAGGCTCAATCCCCGGTAGCAGGCAAGCAGGAGACAGCCGATCTCATTTTCACATAGACGGGGTTTCCCTTCCCCACTCCCCCTCCCCTCTACCTTCCCCTTTCTCTAAAAATTAATCTTTAAAAAATTGTACTTTTCAGTTGAATAACAAGAGTCTAGATTATGTCTTGAACATCCTTTGACCTAGTTTCCGTATTTTGCTATTGATGGTTTGAGAAGTTAATAAATAGGCCACAGAATCCGTAAGAATATGTGAAAATTGCCCATCTGATGTTAATGTTCCCGAAATACAACTGATTAAATAATAACCGAACCTCTTGTCGGTCAAAGCCTGGCCTGGGCATCAGCCTGGGAGCCTGGTACAAAGGCAGTATCTCAGACTGCACCCTTTGGCTAGTGAATCAGAATCTGCGTTTTGATCAGTCAACTTCCGCCGGTGACATGCTGCAGAATCCTTGAGGAATAGTAATTTTTCTCACCTTGAGTTTTCTTTGTTTTTTGAGCACCCATGTACACGCCTCACATTATCATTGGGTCCTTTCACATGCATGAGCCCCTTTAACCCTCAGATTGACCCTCTAAAGCAGGGATGGTAGCCTTTTTTCCGCCAAGGGCCATGTGGATATCTGTAACATCATTCGTGGCCCATACAAAATTATCAACCTAAAAATTAGCCTGCTCTAACATTTCATTGACTCACCCGTCATGCCCTGGCAGGGCCAGACCAAGTGATTGTACGGGCTTTATGTGGGCCCCGTGCCAGACATTCCCACCCCTCTCTCTAACGAAAAGTTGTCACTGCGGCTGCCAAAGGTGTCACTGAAAGACAGTTTCCGGAGTCGGTGTTCCTAAGCCTGAGACAGGAAAATTGGGGTTCAGCTTGTAATGGCGCGGCCTGGCCGAACATGACAGCCTCCAGTTGCTCCAGGCCTCCCGTGGGCACACCCTGTGCTTCCTTCCTTGTGGGAGGAAGGCAGAGGGAGCGTTTCTCCAGCCTTCTAACAACCAGGGCCCGATAGCTCGCTGCCCACTGCCATTTGGTAATATTTTTTTGTTTGTTTGTTAAGTGTCCATCCTCTTTCCTTTTCCTTTACCACTGACATCATCCGAATATGTAATGTATTAAATGCATATGCATTGAAAATATTGTTTTGATTTATTTGTGAATTGTGCCTCCTCGAGGATCTACCAGGGGAAATCAGTAATGTCTCACATCCTCTTCTTCCAGGAAGAATTTTAAATCGTTTCTCCAAAGACATCGGACACATGGATGACTTGCTGCCCCTGACCTTTCTAGATTTCATGCAGGTAACGTAACAGTAACGTCACGTTCTCAGACAGAAGACGGAAAGTTGCTAACTTCTCAAGGCCCTCTCTCGGGGGCTCAGGGTGGGCCCGTGCAGCCCGGTGATGTGTCATGTTATCTTAAGAAAAGGCCATGTTTGTCAAAGCAAGGTGTGGTGACAGTTTGGAGGCTGAGTTAACATGAGTAATGCCTCGTGTGTAGGAGTGGCTACACAGTCATGCCGAGGTTGGTTCAAAGCAGCTACATGCTTGGTAAGTGGTTCTCCACCTGCCTTCCAGGGATCTGGCGCCAGGTCCACTTTACTGCGGGCACATTTCATAATATAGAAACAATCACCTCTCACGGAAAGATAGCCTAGATTAACTAAATTATGCATTGTATTACCACAAAGGAAAAATATTTACCGCACCGTTTTGTTTTTTTTTTCTTTTTGTGTGTGTGTGTGTGGATAAAACCAGGTGTGGTTACTTACAAAGAAAAGATTAGTAATAATGTGAAAATAATACTTTGTTAAGCAAGGACAATAGAGAGCAGTTATTGCAGATGCAAAACCTTTAAAGGCAAGTCCCGATTAAGCCAGTGCTTTGAGTACAGGATCAAAGTCATCTCAGAAAACGTCTTTTTTGTTTTTCTAGGCCAGCTTTTCTTTCACACGTAGATTGCTCTAAGTCTTAAAGTGTCTTTTTTTTTTTTTTTTTTTTTTTTAAAGGAAAACCAACAATCCCATAGAAATGCCTTCTGTAAAGCATTTGCTTTGTCTGTGTACTTGGGTTTTAAAGAATAATGCTGGGTCGCCCCATCTTTCATCTCCTCATTCAGTGCTGTTGCTCATGTGGTATGTTTCTTCGGTTGTCTAATTCTGTCTACATGACAGAGATTCAGGCCGGGGGCCTTTCTTCATTTCCAAGAGTTTGTTTTGGAAATGAAATAAAATTAATCATAGGATACACCTATTCTACCATCCCCGCTGCTGTAGCTCATACCTCTCAAACCCCTTTTCACTTTTCCTAAGTGCCATTGTACGGTGGTCTAATCAGGAACTAGATTGAAGGCCAGGAAGTAGAAGTGCTACCGTTGGGGTGTGCAATTATGGCTTGATCCTGATAGTCTTTTCCAATTCCCCCATTTTCCCACCCCCTTCTTGACTCTTCTGGAGCTACTGTTCTAAAAGGAGCCAGAATTACTCAATTTGGAAAATCAGCTATGTCAAAAAAGTCAGTTGTAAGCCTGAGATGATTGCAGGCATTCCTGTTAGCAACACAGAAATGCAGCAATGACTATCTGACTACACACAGTCCATGGCAAAGGCATCCATCTACTGTTGACCAGCGTGAAGCAAGCTGAGGCTCAGGCAGAGAGCTTCTCCTGCAGACAGAGGTGTCTGATTTCTTTTTCTCTTCGGCATACTTACTGTTAACTGTGTGCTGTTGGGTTTCGCTATGAAATATATTCCTAGGAAGCAGTCTTCGACTGACACAGTGCCACGTTTTGACCTGATGGTTTATGACTTTGGGAAGATTCTATGAAAGGTTCCTTTCCTTTGCCACTGTAAGCTAGGCCAAGGTTGAGTTTCCAAAGCTGGCTGCCTGGGCTTAGCACATGGTAGTTAGCTAGAATATGTCATGCACAGGGATAGATGCTACCTGATCTCAGTAGTATAAAACATTCCCATGCCAAAACCGCTTTGGCTCAGTGGATGGAGTGTCGGCCTGCGGACTGAAAGGTCTCAGGTTCGATTCCGGTCAAGTGCATGTGCCTTGGTGCCGGGCACATCCCCAGTGGGGGAGGAGGTGGGGGTGCAAGAGGCAGCTGATCCATGATTCTCTCTCATCCATGTTTCTATCTCATCCATGTTTCTAACTCTCTCTCTTCCTTCCTCTCTGTAAAAAAAAAAAAAAATCAATAAAAAAATATATTTAAAACAACAACAACAACAAAAAAAAAACATTCCCAGCCTGCAGAGAGAAATTGCTAATCTCACTGTGCTTTTCTTTAACCCGAGAAACAAGGGTTTTGTTTTTGTTTTGTTTTTTTCTTTTCTCATTCTTCGCTCTTCTTAATCTTGGCGAATCATATCATTGTTGCATACCCGTAGTCCCAATTAGCTGATTTCGTGAATCTAATAGCAAAGGTAAATCTCCTTTCTATTGTCTCCAAGAAAGGAGCTTTGTATAAAGGATAACTCAGTTATCAATTATGATAAAGATCTGTTGTCACTGGTTTTGTTTGCAGGTGTCTTTAATAAGGCTTCCCGTAATCCCTTCAGGAAGAAATATTTTCGTCTTTTAAAAACAGTATTTGCTAAATATAAAAGCTCTGATCCCTGCCATTGTTGTTGATTCTTTGCGGGACATTTCCCCACATTCATTGTTTAAATGGTTGTCAGGAGGAATCAAGTGAACCTTCCTAAACAGTGCAGTCACTGGCTCATCTCTCCTCGAGCAGGTCTTTCTCCAGAGGATTTGCGTTCAGTGTGTGGGCCTTTGACGGGAGGTATCACAGGCATCATTTTGAAGTATTTGGGCCTGTTACTTTATTAGCAAATGAAGAGTTTTATTAAAGCCACACAAAATGAATTTCGCCTGCCCTCAAACAAAGGCCAACAAAAATCAAAATGTAAATGGATTTTTATTTTTAATTTTTTTAAAGTTGGATAGGACTCTAAGGCCGAAAACAACCCGGTGGTGCGCTGGGACTCTTAATGGAATCATGTAAACTTAAAGTAAACACTATTATGGTAAGCACACAAAATGAAAACTAATTTTCCAAATCAAATACATTATATTCAATTCATTTTCCCCAATCAACCAGATGTTTAAAACCTGTTAGCTATAACAGCCATCTTCTGGAAATTAATTAGAAGCCTATTAGCTCTGCTAGCTGAGCCGAATGAAGAGGGTTGCTCGTTACATTTCTAAGTAGGCTCTTGTATGAAAGCAGAGCAAGGTCAAAATGACAATCAGCTTGACTCACCTCAGGGCTGTGCTTTGGAAGTTGATCTAGTATGTTTGTTTGTTTTTTTGAGGGTTGAGGGGGAGGGAGTGCTAGTTTTTAAAGGAAATCTAATCTACTTTGACTCAGCTTCTAATAAAATTTTTAAGTTGAAGCCCTACTCAGCTAGGACCATGCAGGTGTCATAAATTTTATCTGCATGAAAAACAGTGCCCTCTCAATTGCATGGGGCTCTGGAACGGACATGACTTTTAGGCCTCGTGTCCAGCTCATCAACCCTTCTCACGAGTTTAGTTAGTCTCTTTCAGACCTGGGAGAGGAGAAAATTGCCTGTCTGCCTTTGCTTTCCATGTCATTGGCAAAACCTGTTGCTGACAGCAGAAGGCTCTCAATTTTAATGTTTCTCATCAGATTCTTTGGGTAACCATCCTTATAACCTGCAGCTCTTCCTTTGCCTAGAGAAGCTCACAGAATTTAGTCTTCAGTCTAACAGCTGAGTTACTTGAAACACAAGTTTAAAAAGAGCTGGGAATTTCCTAGTAAAGAGGTCACTCTTGTGCAGGAAGTGATCCTTACCTATCTACCCTGTTTCCTCGAAAATAACACAGTTCTTATATGAATTTTTTCTCCCAAAGTTGTGCTAGGTCTTATTTTCAGGGGATGTCTTATCTTTCCATGCGCTAGGTCTTATTTTCGGAGGATGTCTTATTTTTGGGGAAACACGGTATATATCTGGTCTAGTATTCTTAAGACAGAAAGAATGTGACAGGATTTATAGTAACAAATAGGAAGCAAACAGAAGAGCTTATATCTTCATGAGTAGGCAGTTCAGCTCTCCGCTTATCAGAATATTGACACTAACACTGTCCTGCTGAATGTTTTTTTTTTTCTTCCTAAAGATATGCATAGGCTCGTGCTCTTCTGAAGAATTAGAACCAAATAGATACAGAACTAATGTAATTGCATTTGCCCGTGTGAGCTTTTTATTTTTATTTATATTTTTAAAAATATGTTTTTTATTGATTTCAGAGAAGAAGGGAGAGGGAGAGATAGAAACATCAATGATAAGAGAGAACCATCAATTGGCTTCCTCCTGCACACCCCCCACTGGGGATTGAGCCAGCAACCCGGGCATGTACCCTTGACCGGAATCGTACCCGCGACTGTTCAGTCCTTAGGCCAACCCTCTATCCACTGAGCCAAACCGGTCAAGGAGAGCTTTTTAATCCAGAATATGCACATTTGATTAGCTTTTCTGTAAGACTGTTGGATTGTGTAAGTAAGAGTTAAAAAATGTGGACCATTGGAATAGCACTTCATTGTGTTTAGAACTTCTGATGCTGAGGAACTGAGGGGAGAGGCCTGAGAACACATCCTCCAGTTTGCTATATGGCTGTCTATGGTGTACTCTGCAGGAGCAAGTCAGAAGTCAGGGACAGATTTTATAACTCCACTGAGAAATGACTGAGATAAGAAAATTCTGTTTCAAATGTGAACAGATTTGCTGGTCTGATAGAGGTTATTAACATAGCTTTGCCCCTTGGACTTCAGCAAAAGATTTGTATTTGTGTGGACATATGTGGGTTTTGTTTACTTTTTGTGTGTGTGTTTTTTTATAGTTAGCTGTTAATCTACATGCTAATAAGATACAGTGACACAGCTAATTTTGAAATCATGTGTCTTTTATTCTTTCTGCATTCAGTGAGGAGTCAGCAGGAACAGTGGGGCTAATGTGTGGGATTTTGCAACTGAATGGACACATTTATGGTAAATGAAAAAATTTTTGACCTACGAAGCTTTTTGGAAGGGGAGGCCAGAAGTGAAGGAATTTTTTTTAACATATAGGAAATAAATAATTTATGCAATACAAAACAGCAACAGTCTGCTGGTTA